GAGAGAAGAAGGGGAAAAGAGAGACAACACGAGAGAGCACTCTTCTGGTTTTAAGCCGATGTACGCCAGTAAACAAGGATTTCACCGTTTTATGATTTGTACCTCTTTTTAGATAGGTTTTTTTTTAATTTACACGTACACACACAGAGGAATAGAGGCACATGCGCTGAAAGAGAGAAAATATTCATTAAGACTCTACACATATATACATACAATTAATTAATGCATAATTTTATTTAAAACAGAAAATATAATTTAATTTACGTATTTGTGAAAAACGTTTAACATACATACATTTATGTAATAATTATTATACTTTATATACCTATATGTAAATTTTTTAAATTTTATTGTTTGTTATGTCAATCTGTATATAAATTAATTATGTATAATATTAATTTATTTACATTAAGGTTTAATAGGTATTCTCTCTCTCTCTCTCTCTTTCTCTCTCTCTCTCTCTCTCTCCCCTTCTTACAGAATTTCTCAGAGAGGTTTAATATCTGACCGTATAATGAGTTTTCGCGCGAAGAATTCTCACGAGAATACCGGGACAATTTTGTTTGCGTCACTACTAACAGATCAAAGGATAAATTGAATTTTTGCCCTTTATGTTCTTATTTCATTCAAAATTCGTTGAAATCAAATTGTTATTTCTACAAAGCAAAAAATTGTACAATTCGTGAAAAAAAATATATTTTTAAATTAATAATTGCAATATATGCCAAGTATATTTACATAAAAATTATCTACAAGATTGTTGAAAGAATGAAAGAATATTCCTTTTTCTTATAAGAAACAATATCAATAATTTTTTATAAACATATATTACAACAATAAAAAGTAAAAAATTTGTACAATACCTTAAAATTTATTGTATTTATCTTCAAAAAAAGCGTTGATATTTGGATATTCCTGTTAATGAGGACATTTAAAACACTTGTTAGAAGCGAAATGTCGATATCGTTTAAGAATTGTAAGCGCGTCTAACTCGAATGCAAATGTGACACACGCCTCGATATTCACATATACAGGGGAATGAGAGGGAACAATATAGAGTTCTATAGGGTAAAATGCACGGTGTGCCACGGTGCGTAGTATCGCAGCCAAGGTGGGGACAGATCGATAGCATAAGGGGCCTTCCAGACCTTATGGTGCCGTCTCCTCCCTCTCCTCCTCCTCCTCTTCTTCTCCCTCTCCTCCTTTTCCTCTTTTCTCTTCTTGTGTTTCTCTTCGCCTTGTTTCGAAATTAACGCGCGTTTTGCTTCGCACTCTTTGTACGAGGGATGAGGAACCTCTTTTTAAATGAGAAAGGAGGAGGAGGATAAGGGGCGCTGGACATTTTATCCCTCCTTTCTCCTTCTATTAACAAGTCGCAGCTCGCGGTCGATTTCACGGAATTTTGTCTCCTCATGTTTCTCTGTTTCCTGCGCGGTTTTCTTTCAGTCAAAACTGTGCTCGAGAGTCGGGAACGACGAGGTTGAGGTTGAGAAACCGCAAATTGCGCAGGAAACATGTGGCGTTGTTTACGTGTGTGAAAATCGATATTAAATGCAGGAGGCCGATGAAAGAGATAGAGGGAAGGGGAGAGAAGGGGTACTGGCTTTTTTTTCTCTGTGCGGCACTTCACTTTGCACGTGCGAGCACAAGGTGTCGATCAGGGGACATGATTCAACCCTATACAGGATGCTTTATTACAGAAAAACAGCAGTGTTGATTAAGGGACAGATTAATGTAAAGCTAAATTGATATTTGTGATAATATATGTGTAAGAATCGTTGCAAAATTTTATTGAAATAATTATTAAAGGAGTTTTTTAAAAATAATTGTGCACTATTATTTTTATTTCCATAAATGCCATAATATTAATATAAGATATAAATCTTATATAATGTAATGTAATACATATTTTAATACAATTATGTTTCTGCATTTTGCATATTGCAAATATAAACAATATTATTCATAATCATATATATATACATATATAATATATATATATATATATATATATATATTATATATTGTATATATTTTATAATATAATTTACGATTTTGTAATGATTTCTCAGCTATCACATTTACCTCACTATATTTAAAAATGTTGTATATAAATACAGAAATTGTAATGATTTATAAAAAGGAGAAGAATTCTGGAAATTCACGTATTCCGCAAAAGAATGTTTTACACAATTGCATTCCTTCGATTTTATGGATACGAGAAACGAAGCTGGGGGAGTCGGTCGGATATAGTGATTAAAGCGATACTTCCGGTGGTTGTTATCGAGCCGCGAAGATAACATCGCGGCTTTCGATCACTGTCAGAAAGCGAGCGAGCGTGCACTAGAGGAGCAATATCCGTACCGATGCATCGTTGGGGTACGACAAACCCCTACTTCCGAGACTTCCTGTAACGACTCTCTCTGTCCTCTAGCGATGTCGCTAATTAGATTCACGACTACATCGGCCAGCGATAGACGAAGAATAATTAGTACGAGCGGCAGTAGGAGAGAAGCAGATTCTGTCTGAAGGGGATGATAAGACGTCGGGGGTGATAAGAACTCTTAGGGAATTGAACGCGGGAGATTTTGGTGAAGCATGGCTTGTGTTAAAGAGAAAAATACGGTAGAGGAATTTGGGGATAAAGAAGAATATCCTTTTTTTTTTAGATTTATTTTTGCTGATCCAAAAATCTGAACTATAAAATTGTTATTGATGTAATTCATATTTAAATCTCTTTCTTGAATATTTTACACTATGTGGCTTACTGAAATAAATATATTGTAAAAAAGATAATCCAATATTTTTATAACTAAATATGATCTATGATACATACATATACACGCATTACATGGGGTTAATAACTTAAGTAGATATATTTTAGATATATAGATAAATATAATAATTACATTAATAGTGTCTCACATTATTTTTATACATGATTATTCTAAATTAAATATAAAATTGTGTATGGAATAAAATATGTTTTAGTCTGGTTTTATTTGCAAGTGAGTATATTTTGAAGAATAGACTTGCTTAAAAAAAACCATGTAAATGCACATATAAAAATAAATAAATAAATTTAAATATTTAATCAGGATAAAAGTATAATTATATATTTATAGTACAATTATATTTCTCATGGAATATGGATCGTTTGGAACTCCCTTCAATTAATCGAACGTAGAAGACAGGAATAGAGGGCCAAGGTCTAACGGAGAGAGTAATGTAAGATCGTTAGTTTCCAGTCGAACGTGCTCGTAGCACAATGGAGTGAGTCTGAATTGGTCACGACGTACGGGGTGTCCGTGCTGTCTAATGAGCCTCGACGTCGTCGAACTCCCATGATACTTGATGCGCTCGTATTTTAATGTATATCTCGCTCCCGGTGAATCGCACCCATATTATATTGCTATAAATGGATTAATAATATGTCGGATGATTAGCTAAAATATCGTTTTTATGATCTTTCATAAAACTTAAGAACATCCAATATTTTTTGTCGAACTTAATATTAGGTGAGGACGAACATACTTTTTGGATAAAACAGTCATAGATACGATTAATTTCTACATGAATAACTTCTTCCGAGATGCTTCATTTAATTCTTAGCTCATTCACAAATGAATAATATATAGAGTTCAAGGTTTACGATAAATTAATAAATGTTTATTTTGTTTAATCAAATAACGCTTAATATATTTATCTCTAATACAAAATTATACACTTAATAAAATTATATTTATTTGTAAAATAAAATATATAAAAATTAAAAAATTTTTCTTTTAAAAGAAAATTTTAATTGTAAAATAATTTGTTTAAGAAAATAGTTAGCAACAGAACCTTTTTATTAGGTTGATTAGGAATTTGAGAATTTTGAATTCTATAGGTATTGGAATTCGAGAATCACAGTATGTTATGTTATGGTCGACATTACTATCGATCGCATTAATGGCGAGCGGACGCGAGAACAATTGTAATCATGGATGATCCGCGACTACGCGTGAGTACCGTGTGTCCATTTGTCACGCATTAACGGTGTTTATGTTCGTAGCCAGCGGGGACAGTCCGCGTGCATCGTTAATCACGACGAATTTGCTGTGATTAATTATGCTTTTCGCCCGATTAACTCTCTCCTCTCATTTCCCGTCGATTCTTCCGTCTCACTCTTCTCTACCTCATTCTCTGATCTGTACCACAATAATATTAGAAATTTATGAAAACTACAAAGAGCAAATTAAAATAAAAATTTTAATTTAAATAGAATTTGCGTGATTATTTTTTTATTTTTAACGACAATAATACAAGTTGGTACACCAATCTTTGCTTAAGTTTTCTAACTTTACCGAATTATATTGTCGTAAATATGGTAACTTATATTGGCCAAAGAGATTTGTTGGCGATGAAAAGATGAAATTTTCGCTTGACGGCTGACGAGGAAAATAGCCCTTGCGAGCGATGGCTTGCACGGTTTCCTCGGAAAAACGTCGGGGCGAGAAACGGGGTGGATCTCGAAAGAGAGATTGAGGGAGAGAGGGAACTAGAGAGAGGTCGTCCTCCCTTCGACCGGATATGTCATTTGGTACCTGGGTCACGTACCTCTTCGTATCGACAGGCCAACCAGCAGCCAACCAGGAGGTCTCCACTCCGTTGCTTCTCGTCACTGTGCGCGATTCTCAGTCCAGGATCTCGGCATCGTGAAACAATCGTGGATACTCTTTCAAAAACCATACATGTTGATCGAAAATACAAAGCATCTCGAAATAAGTAGCAATGAAAAAACATAGATAAAAAATAACATTTATTCCATTTCAGGAAAATAACATTGTTTGACAAATTTGTCTTATAAAATCTTAATTAAATGCTTATTTTTACAAATTAGATTTTATTATACAATAGATTAAAAATGCACTTAGAAAACTGATTAGAAAGAGATATTCTCTAAATTTTTATTTATAAAAGTTAGACTAATCAAATACTTTTAATATTACTTGTTACAGGATATCAGGTGTCTCGCAGTGATGGTACAGCGATGAGCTTGCAGGCCCAGGCACCAGCCCAACGCCCTGCGAGGTACTCCCCTCAGGAGACCATCAAGGTAAGTCACTAAACGTTCTTTACTGATATTTAAAATGATACGTATATCAATATTAAGTTTTTGTTATATTTTACAACAATTGACGTCTTAATATTTTATGAAGATTAAAATATATTTTTAAACTTCTTGAATAATACTTACGAATGCTTTATTTTATGATTCTTATAATGTAAATTTCTGTTTAACTTATGACATTTTAAAGATTTTTCTAGAAAATTAAAAAAAAAGTTGTAGTAAAATTAACAAAAATATTACTTCTTTTTTTATAAGATTCGACGTTGCTTAGTGACAAGCAATGTCTGTTTTTTCTTTTTTCGCTATATATCTCGACTTTTCCCGGACGATAATTAACAGCGGAATTCGCTCTCACGATAATAACGCGTGGACTACGTTACACCCCGTTTGCAACCCGTGTCGAGATTAACCCCTCACGGCTGACTGTACACAGCTTGTATCACTCGACATTCGCGTTATAAAGACAGTAAGAATAACGAAGAGAAATAGAAAGTATCTTCGAAGTCTAAAGTAATATATACTTAAAGTTGGAATAAAAAATATAAGTGACAATATTTATTAATTAAATAATAAAGTGATATTTACGTAATAATATACATAATAATTAGAGAAGCTCTCAAACCCATACAATTAAAAGATTTGATGACTAGAAAATTTTTATATTAAAAAATAAAAAATTGAATAATTAAAAAAATAAGAAGGTATTGAATTAAGTTTTTATACAAGCATTAATTACGTATGTACATAATTAATTTTTTACGCGGACGCTGCTACTTTTAATGATGATCATAATTAATATTCCACTCCATATAACGATAACCTTGTCGCGCGAACCCTATGCGTAGTCAAATAATTTTCCACGCGGATGCTCTCGGGTCGTTGCCTTCTTTTCAGTCTCTCTTTCTGACGTCACTGACGTCATTCTGGTGAAGGACTTTGTGAAATAAACGGGGTAGGTGTTGGTGACAAAAGCCGAACTCATCGAGATGCTGAGGACTCTTAGCGAAATTTGATTTTGCAGAATTCTAATGAATCCGTAAAAAAATTTTGGTATTTTTATGAAAATTGAGTTTGTGTTATTAGATTTACGCTTATTGGAAAATATGAACATTCTAATTATAAATAAATGTTTTTATGTTTATTTTTAATAGATTGAAAGGAAGAATAACATGTTATTTATCAAATTATACTTTATCGTGATAAATATTTATATATAAACTCATTTTTTATTTATGTTTTTTTAAATAATAAAATAAGTTAATAGAATAATTTTTCGAATAATTGATAGGGATTACAAATCTCGATAATTATGTAGTTATGGCTGTTGTGGTTACTATTATCGGTTGTTTCAATCTCCCACATTTTCCAACCCTTTTGGGGTTGATTTATTAAAAAGAAGAATTCACGAGGGTCGAAAATTCAGCAAGGTCGTGCGTGGGAGATTCGCAAGAAACGCACGGAGGTGTGTGGTAAGATTCTGCAAGCGTAAGCCAATTTAGCGCATGCTAACCCTCCATCTCCTGTTCCTCTCGTCTCTTCTTGTAAAGTTCAATTTACACTATCTAGTTTCAAAGATGATTCCATCATTCATCATCACTGTTAGACACTTTTTTCAAGATTTTACAAAAATATGGAGTATTTAATACATATAATATAATTTAAAAACGCTTCCTGAGTTTAAAAAGAAATAAAAATCAATTAAGATAATAACTCTTACATTTACTTTTAACTAAAAATTTGTTTATATTTTACATAATTTTTATAAAATTTAAGTATCACATATAGAATTATGTACATTATAAAACGCACTGATACATTTTTCAAATTTTAATTTCGCGTCCGTGATTATTTATATAATTGTATATTTTCGAAATTAATTATTTTACAAATATATTACTTTTTCTTTAATTTACATAGTTTATTTAAGATGAAACGTATGAGATGAGCTTAAGTTCCCGTATCGTCATAGCGCGCGTCAAGCTAGGCGTTATATCTTTAATTATCCCCGCAGTCGAGGGACGAAGGAGGACTCGAGGGATGCTGCGAGAACTACCCAGAGGGTTGCAAAATGGTATCATCTCATCCTCATGGTCGGGGCGTGGCTCCTCCTGGCCAGAAATCTCGTCTTCCTTCCGCTTTTTACCGAATATCCGCGTGAAGACAGGGTATCTAAATATCAACAGAAATATATAATAAATAAAATTTCTTGTTATTTTGAATAACATTCTTATAACATTTCTAGTTGAAAGAGAATCTTTTAGTATTAAACTTTGAACAATTTTAGATAATAATAGCATAACATAAAATGAGAAGCAAATAGAAAAATTGCATCATTTTAGATACATATTTTTTTATATTAAAAAATGTAAATTATATATACGTGAAAATTAGATGATAAAATAATTAAGACTTTATCCAGAAACGTTATATCATTAGATTCTTATTACTTGAGATTCCTGAAAATCTTCGTGTTCTAAAATTTCTCATTATCAAAAATAATGACGAAGCATTTGTATCTTTAATTCCTGTACGCATAAATGCGCGTCGTAAAAGATCCTAGTTTCGGAAGAGGAAACCACCCCTCGGAATTTAGCGGGTGTCAACGCGGAAGTTATTGCGGGAGGGCAAAGAGGATTGGGAAGTCGACTTGAGGGTCGGTACTTGCACGAGAATGCCCCTCGAGCGTATTCGCGCGCGTGGTCAGGCATCGATTAGCCATTCACGAGGATCGAGTCCGTATCATTCTTCTCCCTCTTGTTCTCGATACATATATCGCAACTTTCTTTCTGTTTCTCTTGCAACATATTGCACACAGCCGGAGGGCGGTTATCGTCGATATCATGTGAAACGAGTTCCGAGATATCGTCGTATGACTCGAGATTTTTTTTTCTTTTGTAAAGCGTCGATTAGGCCATCCTTCCCGGGGCCATCTGGTTTTATTACTTCTACAGGTATTATTCGGAATTGACAGATAAGATTATCTTATCTTAGAAAGATTTTTCGAGAAAATAAGAAATGAGATACGTTACAATTATTTAAAAAATATGTAATGTTTTAAATAATTGTAATATGACAACAGATATTTCAATTATAATTATTATAATTAACAAATATGAGAATATTACTAAAAATAATAATTAATAAATATTAAAAAAAAATTACTTAATCAATGATACTACGAATAAAAATTTGTAAATCGTTAATACATATATATATATATGTAGAGATATATCTTCTCTCGTAGCGTGTACGAGCTCGAAACTTTGCGAGTAGTCTTGCGGTTGATTTGGCAAGTTTAACTGCTGAAATTCATGATTGTTGAGCCGACCGACGTCAGTTACCGTCTGTCCCTCAGAATTATTAATTAGATGCGAGAGAAACTAATTTACGCACGCTGTTCCCGAGGGTTGCAATCTACATGTATCTTCGTAAATTTCTTCACTAGTAAAAAATAAGATCTTGGTTTAGAATAATAATAAATTAAAAGGTATTATAATATTAATTCATTTCACTTATGTGAAGATTTTATTAAAGATTTTATCATCACAAATTTTAACTAAATAAAAATGCTTAGAGTAATATTGTAATATTATTACAATAGTGGAATATTAATAGTAAATATTTTATTAGTTATTAAATTAGTTATTAAATTAAATTGGGAAAATAGTAATTTTATCACTCTGGAATACATTAACATAATTGTGAATAAGATGGATTATAATTGCAATAAAGAATTGCAAATTCATTACATTTCCATGGGACATTTAACGTTGTTTCGACAAATCGTTCGGAGGATTAGGGGAGCCATTTCGTATATCGATGCACGCAGGGGCACATTACGCCGTAAAATCGCGCTCACGATAAGGGCGACACCCAAGTTTTTCGCAGCCGAATTTTCCGCGCGCGTGGTCACGTGGCACGATAAGCCTTTAATCGAAGATTAATATTACCGGGGTTCGGCTGTGGAACCCCTGCGTTGTCACGCATCGCGATTAAGAGTCGACCTTACGTGCCAGTGGCTATTTTCTCTCTCTCTCTCTTTCTCTTTTTCTTTTGCTCCTTTTCACCCTTTAAACCTTTTCAGCCAAAGGGTCTCTTAAATCCGCAGAAAGAAAAAAAATAATCGTCGCTTTTGAATTGTGCTTCCTTTTTTGCGTCAGGGAGACATAATATATTATAAGTTTCTGGTCACATGTGATCGGTGGTTAAAGGATGATCGTAATTCAACAGGCTATTAATTATCTGGGGTGAGAAAAGTTTACATATGCACCTTGAATATAAAAAATACATTAATTTTCCCCTATATTAGATGCGTCATAAATAGTCGTTCTTATGACGGTTTTATTAGCACGCACATGACGCCGCGCCGTTTTGATGGCGCCGTTGATTTTCGTTTTCAATACAATTGTGAATATTTTATATATGTAACTTAAGATACTCCAATTTCTTTTGCGATATCATTATTATTTTTGAAAAAATAATATTAATTTTATAAATATATTTTATAAATATATCTTGTTAAATTGCATTTTGTTATAATTTATTTGAATATTTTTTCTATAAATTTTTCGGTTTTAATCCGACTTATTAAATTTATTTTTTAATAATTTTTATTACATTTATACTAGACCAAACACATAATCGTATTTTGAAGAGAAAAAAGAGAAAGAGAGAGAAAATACAAGTTTTTTTGCATTATGAACTTCGCGATTTTCGAATTAACTACTTCCGAGTATTTGGAAGTGGTTAGTTTGGAGGTGTATGACACTCGAGATGGTAGTAATTCTCTGTCAGTCGAACAGCTCAATTTCCTCGTTGCGCCTTTAACCCTCTAGAAGCTAATAGGCTAACGAGTATAAGGGATCATTTAGAACACGAAAGCCTCTTTTTAATCGAAATGTCGAAAGTCGAATATCTTTGGCCGTTATTACTTTCGCTTACTTAAGTTCTATGCTATGGTATGCAAGAGACGGGAGAGAAAATTT